AAGGTTTGATTTTGTGACTGCTGCTTGTGAATGCATACATAAGAAATGTTTTTAAAACAGGCTGCTCTCAGTTGCATTACAATGTAATATTGAAATATCATCATATTTCTGACAAAAAGAAAGTGAGCAAGCTGGTTTCATTTCAACAAATCTACAGTTGTTAACTTGTTAAAGGTACAGTGTGTAGATTTTTGTGATATCGAGTGTTGAAATTGCATGTTGCAGCTTATCCCCCCTCACCTCACCCTCCCCTTCTAAACATGAAAAATAAACTGTGGTAGCCTTTAATTGTCATAAAAACTCAAAAGGTGTTTAGTTTATCCAGTCTGGACTAATGTAAAAAACATGGCTGCCTCCGTAGAGAGGGTCCCCTCGATGTAAATATAAAATATAAAGGGCTTTTTCTGGGGAAAAGAAACAAACTAGTGAAAACATCATAAGGATTATTCTACATTAAATTTCTGCCAATAGTTCCCTTTCACCTAAATCTTACACACTGGACCTTTAAGTGCTTGCAACTAAACAAAATATGCTTCGGTTCCCCTAGTAACAAAGGCATATTTCATGTTAAAGAAAAACACAGCACGGTTCTCAACTGAACTGTTCTTTGTGTTGTGAGTGGGAGATGTGTTATAATATCTATGTTGATATATGCTGTGCATTACCCTGATCCTGTTGCTGCATCACTTCCAGATCCAGACTCTCGTTCTCCTTATAGAACAGTCGGAAACGCTCAAAGCCTTGCGAGTACACTATTGCTGCATCAAAGGCAACCTGCAGGGATTCCTGATAGAAAAATACAAAATAAAATAAGGTCCATGCACAAACAGTACTCTATAGACAAAGTTAAATGCGCAGAGATGGAGAACAAGAAAAAGTGAATGTTGACCCTGATGTTTTGGATGATGCTTTGAAGGTAGCTGTCAGTTTCGATGATGAATTCCAAACTGGGGCCATCTTCATATTTGTTTTCCAGTATCTGTAAGTTAAGAAACACACATAAAAACAGACACAAAGATGAGATTACAAACTAATTAAGGTGTGTTTTTTCCTATCTTTATTCAAGAGCGTGGTCTTTCAGTTTCAGAGCAGGCTTATTGATTTCAGATTGTGTAATGCTTTCACTCAAAACCCTGTGGAGTTTGGATTAATTAAATTGTCCCACCCTTGTTGTGGTTACTTTTGCTGATGGTACTGTTCCCATAAAGTACAGTTGGAAAAAAAACAGGTCACACCGACTGGTAGCTAGTGTAATAACAGAGCCATGGAGGGCAGGAGTGCATGGACCTGATTAAATTAACCAGCTCTAGAGGACTTTTAAAGAAGTAAAGCTCTTACATCCAAAATGAGGATAGGACAATTTAATTTGTCAACATTATACTTGGCAGATGCAACGTATGAAATCTGAGTGCAAGCTCACAATTTGAGCACAAGCAGAGCAAATCTTAGCCAAAGTAGGAGCTACTTAAACGTGAGCACAGGATTTTGAGTGAAAGCATTATAAAATCTGATCATGAAATCCATAAATCCAGCTCTCAAACTAAAAGACCACACTCTTGTAGAAAGATTAAAAAAAACATGAATCAAAGTGTAAAATCGCATAACATTGACATATTTTCCTATATTAACTTTACCATTCAAACTAAGTTACAATATACAATATACATAGTTCTTACCTCAAACTCTTCAGGTTGTGTCACTGAATCAAAATCAGGATCTACTGCAAGTGCATTAACCGACAGCACCGTCTTCTCAAACTGCCCAATGACCTCTGCAATACTCTCCTGTGAATTAAAAAAACAGAGAAAAACCCATTCACAATCTGTGCAGGAGTAGCTGTATATGGAAGTTCATTAATAAATTAAAAATTGTCCAAAACACACCTGAAAGGTCTCTTCACTGGGCTTGAAGGTCAAAGTGTTTGTGTCCAACATCAACTCAGAGATGAACAAAGGTTCGACATGAGGAGTTTCTGACTCAGCAGACTATTAAAGAGACACACACACACACACACA